GATGAACCGGGGCTGCTCCCACGAAGGCTTGGGGCACCTGGTGCTGAATCACCGACTTTTAATTTCACATGTAAAGAGCCTCATTAGCAGCGCTTCCCCCGGCGGGGGATCCAAGTCCCTGGCAGGGTGAACCACCGCCCCACGCGGTGCTGTGCTAATCCCAGCCCGCCTCTCGTGCGGTGAGCCCGGCTGCTCGGGGTTATGTTATCGCCTCCACCTGATAGTGCGGCACGCACGGAAACCGCGCCGCCCCCGGCCTCTCCTCGCAGTGTCTGCAACAGAAATGAAATGGCCAGGCTCTTCTCAGGGCATCTGCCAAGCCACCCTGTCCCCCTCCAACTGCCACTTGTGTTAAGAGCTGCATTTACTCTAAGACCCCCAAAGCCTCCAACCCAGCCGCCATCAGGCATCAGCCTTCCCAGCCCGCCCAAGTGCTTGGGGTCGGGACAGCAATGCCAGCCCGTGGCAGCTCCCCGCAGTGCCAGCGTTCACCTGCAGCTCCCCCAAACACCCCAAGGTGTTCTGCAGGTCCAGACCAGGCTGCTCCCTCGCACAGGCAGCTCACTACGTCTCCTCGCCTCCGTGGGGAAGGGACCAGATGCCCAGGCTCATCCTCTCTGGGACCCCAGACCCTGGCCCAGCTGGGGTTTTTCCCCTCGCTCTCTCCAAAGGGCCATGTTTTCCTCTCCCCGGTAGCCTCAGTCCCATCACACGAGGAGCAGCAACAGCTATTTACGATTGCTGGTAGGAGTCCCAAGCAGATAACGTTGATTGGCGCCTCATTCTTAAGCAGCTGGGCTGAGACTGAACAGCAATAACTGGCAATGTCCTAGATACCAGGATTAACTCATTTTGAACCATCTGAATGAGTAATTAGTACTGCAATTACTTTAAACTCAGGGTTACATTCTACAGCGATGGCATGATAAAACAGCCGATATTAGTTTAACTTGAAGAAACCCAGTACGGCCAGGCCTCTCCGGGAATGAAAAGGGGACATTGTTTCAGGTCTGCTGCGCTGCATACCAGCGTATCAATCACCCTCTTATCATAAGAAACAGCCCCCGGTCCCTCCTGTCTCCGCCTGAAGCCGATGCAGCTCCTGCAGCAAGCTACGCTGGATGGTGGAGGTGCCGAGGGATCCCCCCCAAGTCCCCCCAGAGCCGCGCCGTGCCGTGCCACCCCGCGGGAGACAAACCAGCTCGTGCAGCATGCAAATCTCCTGGAAGCAGCCCACGAAGCCGCAGCTGGGCGTGAAAGCACCAATCCCCCCCGCAGCAGGGATGCTCCCGCAGGGCCACACCTCACCCCGACGTGCCCGACGCTTGGGCTGCTCTGGGGAAAGTGCCTCGTCAGCAGAACAGCAGGGCAGGGCCAGCGCCGCTCCTCCTGCCCCGCTCCACCTGCCCGCCCCTGCGGCAATGCCGCTTTGCTGGGCCAGGGCTCGGAGCTGCTCCCACGGAGCATCATCCCTCGGAGCTCCCGGCTGCACCAGCTCATCCTGGAAGGAAAGGCTTCCTTTCCCGGCACTGCTCGCCTGGTCAGCCCCAATGCCTCGCTGCCCCTAAGGACAGGAGCTTTGCTCCAGCCTGGGTGAGCAGGCAGGGAGGGGAAGCAGGAGATCCTGCAGGGCCCTGTTGGTTAACCCTGGATAGTTAACGAGTCTCCTAAGTTATTGCAGCCAAAGCTTCGGGAAAGGGATTGAACCCCTGAGCCTGTGTCAGAGATCAAGACAAGATGTCCCGCGCTGCCCCGCAGGGATCGCGTGTCTTCCCCCAGCACCGGGCTGGGCTGCCAGCAGGATGCGGGTACGTCTGTGCCAGCTGGGAGACCCCATCCCCACCCCAATGCCAAGTCCCCAGCGGTGGTGGGGCAGGACCTACAGCGGAGGGAGGCTGGAGCTCCCCACAGTAATGCCAAGCACCATCCAGGGCGCAGAGCAGAGAAGCCGCCTACCCCTCATCCTGCCCCAGCCCCTGCGGGACTATGGACCACAGGAGATCAAAGCAATCCCACAAGAGACTTCTCAGGCAGTTTAGCACTGCCCACAGCTTCCTTCCAAGGGAGAGGGTGGATGCGTCCCCTCCGCGTCTGCCGCAGCTGGCCGGCATGGCTGGCTTGGGTGAATGGCTGGCTTGGGTGAGAAACGGCACTCACCCCCCCGGCAAACACAGCCTGGTCTGAGCGTGGGGCTGCACCGGGCGGCAGCGTGGCTCTGGGCTGTGCCGGCCGCTGGCAGGAAACTCCGCTATTTCATTTCTCCAGACAGCGCGGGGACGGGGGGAGCGTGGGGCTGCGCTCAGCCCCTTCCGCTCCCTGCTCCAACCGCGCTGCAGACCGCTGCCCGAGGGCAGAAGCGAAAGGGCTTGCCGGGGTCAGGGGGCCCTTTCATAGCTGCTTTTCTTTTCCCCAGCATGCAGGGTGCCAAGCTCCTTTGCAGGGTGCTGAGCTTCTGTATAGGGCGCTGAGCTCTTGGGACAGCCCCCGCGGGCACCCTCCTGCAAGAGCCCTTCATTTCAGAGGCTGTAATTCGGTGCTTGCCAGAGGGAGCAGCAGCGAGCACGGAGAGGGTCTCCCTTCCCCAACTCCATTCGCACTCGGAAACTTTCCAAAATAGCTATTCCGGGCTAATTATTCCATTCTGGAAGTGGATTAAGCTAAAGCGGAAAAAGGCACTCTTATTCTGGAATATGAGCATCCGCACAGGGGCCTCTGCTGAAACAGTTGTTTTGGAAGAGCTATTTTGGTGAATCACACAGTATAAATCCCCAAGTATAAAAAGCCCCCAGATGACCTCTCCTCTTCGGGCATTGCTGCCCAACATCTTCCCAAAGGCACGCGGCACAGCGAGCCCACAGCCCCTCATTTTTGTCCCTCCCAGAGCCGTAACCTGGGGGAAGATCGGGCATTACTTGTTTAGGGGGGGCAAAAGGGCTGCAAGAGGGTCCCCTATCCCCATCCCTCCGCTCGGAGGCAGCCCTTACCTGGCAGGCACGTGCAGTCGTAGGTGGTGTCTCCGATCTGGCGGCACGTCCCCCCGTTCTGGCAGGGCGAGGGGTTGCAGGGCACGTAGAGGTGCTCGCAGTTCTGCCCGGTGTACGCCGGCTTGCAGGAGCACT